GGAGCCATTTTCGAACCTGCTTCTATGATATAAATTTTTATAGGTAATGGTGATTCTGCCGCAACCCCACTGGAGCCAGATTTATATACCTATACTGCTGCTACAGATGCAAAAATGATGATGCGATTCAACGATCGTCATGATTCGTATTAAAAGTATCATCAATATTAATTAATAATGGATAAAATTTACTATAGACCACGAGGATATTGGAAAGGTATAGGAGCAATACAAAGATTAGCCACTGTGGCTAAGGTAGCTAAAGACGTGGCCAAGGATTGGCTAAAGAAACAAGCGATGTGGCAAATATGCTTACCGGCACCGCGTTATATCCCGAGGAAGAATGAAGATTCGTTCAATTATCGTAAGACCAGTGGTATTAGCGAAGACGAGAGAAAAAAGTTCATAGAACAGGGGAGACAACAAGCGCGTCAATGATAATGGAGAATTACAAGCCAATCAAATGTCGAGAATAACCACAGGGTTTATATTATATCAGTGATGTCAAACCAACCAAATACAGTCATCAATTGTTTCTTTCCAATTTCGAAAAAGAGTATATAGTCTGGTCTCGTAAAATGAACGTAGAACAAAGTAAAAATGTTGAATATCACTTTGTTCAAAATAATGGTATGCGTATGAGTAAAAATAATAGAGAATATGTTCATTACAATTTAGTTTAATCTCATGATGATTGTTGAAACGCATCATCATTTTGACATTAAAAAAATCCCCCCTGTAGTAGCAGTATAGGTATATAAATCTGGCTCCAGTGGGGTTGCGGCAGAACCCCTATTACCTATAAAAATTTATATCATAGAAGCATTGATAGGTTCGAAAATGGCTCCAAGTGGTGGTGAGCTAGAGCCATTTTCAATACAATTAAGTTTAATCTCATGATGATTGTTGAAACGCACCATCATTTTGACATAAAAAAAATCCCCCCTGTAGTAGCAGTATAGGTATATAAATCTGGCTCCAGTGAGTGGGGTTGCGGCAGAATCACCATTACCTATACTACTTATATATATCCTTGTTCAGGGCTCTACATTTGCTAAAATCCCCGTCAGCATGTATTTGCAACCGCAAACGATTGATACAATACTAGTTTAGGGCCCGGCGAAACTTTAAGAGCTATACACCACGCACTGTAAATATCAGCTCGCGACGGAGCTTGGTGCACGTGCAACAGCGGCAGAGAACGCATTCTTCGTGCATCACGCAAGGACGACCTACACAGTATAAATACAGGCGACAAAGAGTTCTGGTGTATTTTTCAATATTTTCCACAAGAGAATATTTTGTCAAAGTGTAAAAGTTGGGATGTGTTTTAAGTAGGGGATTATCCTTCGTAATAGGATGGCGAATATATTGTAGTAGCCTGCATTTGTACAAATAAGTATTCAGAAATGCCTACCAGCAATGTCTATTCTCACTCAAAACACTGTGTCTCTGTCCTGATGAATGTACGGCTTTTTTTGCCACCACGATAATAGCGAAAAGCGCATATCATGCACCAGCCAGATGACCCATATCTTGCCCGCTGCCTGCCTGTAAGGTGACGGGGCCATATTTGACCCAGAACCACTGGCGTAACAAATGTTATAGTTGGGATAACACTTTCTAAGTTTGTTTGTTGTTTAACGCCGCACTCAGCAATATTCCAGGTATATGGCGGCTGTCTGTAAATAATCTTTGGAGAAAAACAGTTACAACAATTAGCATTTTTATAATATTAGCTTTGAAACGTTCATCACAACTAAAAGTACGCATATGAAATCATTTGTTTTTTTAATGTTTGTTTGTTGTTTAACGCCGCACTCGGCAATATTCCAGCTATATGACGGCGACACTTGAAATATCATCTTTTTAACTCATTTTGGCTGTATGTTTTGTTCATGTCAGAGGTCAAGGGCGGTATCCACAAAGAAATCCTATTTTCTCAAGCAACCAACTTGGCTTTGAAGTACTTTCTGATGTCACATTCACATAGCTTCGTAATGGTTTTTGCTCAATATCTCATCAGCTAACTTAAGTAACCTACAAATCACAACTAGACGAGCGGTGCTTCAAATAAATTCATATTCTGATCAACAGCAAATAAGACAAAGGTTGAACAAAAGTGGTACTGAATATGTGTAAATATCTTCTTAGAATCTTTAAGAATACGGCCCCAGAACTTGCAAGTGTCACAAAAACCCAGTTGTGACCCTATGAACATCTCCGATTGTAAATTTAATATTTTATAGTTTCAAGGCCATAACTCCTTTTTTTTATCCTTGCAATAAATTGCAAGTGATTCCATGGCATTTGACCAATCGTTTATTTTTGTTTATGTTTCAAGAAGCCTGAAAGAGCTAGGCGACGTCCTCCGGCGGACTTCTGTTTTCTGATTGGCTAGTGAATAGAGCGGGAAGGAGTGTTGTATTATTGCGCTGAACTGATGTCATTGATTTCGTATCGTTGTCTGCATTTTGTTGTGTGTGTAAATTATTAACTACGTTTATGAATGTAAGTAAAATTGTTGACTCAGTTATTTATTATTGACTTGGTCATGTTTTGCGTTTATGGAGGTATAAACGAATCAACCGGTGAACACACTTTGTGTACGCAGATTTTCAGTGTGTACTCTGGTTTTCTATACTACTATAGACCACAAGAAAATAATTATATTTGTCACTCCATAACTTCCGCTTTTCATTCCTGACCTCAGTATAAAATAGTTAATTGGCAGTATCTGAATGTATATGGGTATTTAATGATGGATTTATGTAACTGTCTGGGGTACGATTGGGACGGTCTTCTGAAGCGCCGCAGTTGGCCGTGCAGAGTTGCGTCCCTTTGGTCAGAAACCTATGATTTGGATCCCGGTTCGCCCCGATTATGTTTCTAGTTTGTCGTGGGCTTCACCGAAGTGGTTTACGTCTAAGACCTGCATCACTTCGGGCTTTCCTCCCACATTAAGCTGACACGCCTTGATATAACTGGAATACTGTTAAAAGCGGCGTTAAACCCAACTCACTCACTCACACTATCTGAATAAACTAAAATACTATTCACAGTGGATCCTTTGATGCCGAACTTTCTCTGTACAAAACCATATATATATATATATATATATAAACTATGTTGCGATGATCTGTCAGCGCGTTATCGGTGGCCGAAAATCTTGAATAACTGAAGAGCGAGACAACATTTACATCTAAACCTTGGCAGACAAATTTGCCCTACACCAGTCTATGTAACAAAAGTCAAACGATATGTAAAATCATTACATTAGATCTGATGGTTTTTTCGTAAAAAATCCAGTCGTCTGTGAAACACCGACAGAAGTGGGAGGAGTTAGCCTTCGTCAGCTGACATCTGCGCGAGCGTATCTAATTATAGCATACCACGTGGCGGGCTCGCAAAATGCACACCTTCTTCGGGTATACCGAAAATACATGTTATTACAAAGACGTTACGTTTAAATACCGCAATGAACACACACCCATATACAGTATACGATTGTTTTATGCAGGTATGTTAACGTTGTAAAGAATTTTCCGTTGAAAAATCTCAGAATAGAAGCTATTTTGACTTGCATTGTCATATCCGCACGAAGCAATCTGCGAGCCGTATTTTACAAACGACGGACCCAACAACTTTTGACAAGTGAATTCAAAATTAAATAAATCTAGATCCGGCTACTAAAACCAGATAACAGTTTGCTTATATTTTTTCACATTTATGCGCCAAAAGTATAAACACTACAGTTCTAGTAATTGTAAAAGCGACCTTAAATTAAATAAATATATATTATAAATAAATTATAAAATAAATAAAAGTTAAAATGTCGATATGTAGTTTAAACATAGATCTATCTTCTTTAGACATGCCAATATATTGTTTACACAGATACAAAATATGAATTAATTCTAGATTTGATTTCTTCAATACAAATTATCGATCCGTGAAGATCATGGGTGGAATAGGTCTTCAGCAACCCATGCTTGCCGTCAGAGGCGTCTGTACTTGTCGTAAGAGGCGACTAACGGGATCGGGTGGTCAGGCACGCTGCATTCAGCCGCACTCAGCAATATTCCAGCTATATGACGCCGGTCTGTAAATAATCGATTTTGGACCAGACAATCCAGTGATTATCATCATGAACATCGATCTACGCAATTGGGATACGATGATGTGCATAACGATGTTCACGCGTTGCCGATTACCGCATGTATTTTAGATTGAGACACGTGGGTTACTATAAAATGCCAATTTTTCACTCAAAGCGGCGGAAAATCATACACACTCACTAACATTGGAAACAGCATGTTTTCATATTCACTCGTTCAATTGTTACACAGACTGAGTATAGATGTTTTGTTTGTTTGTTTGTTTGTTTGTTGTTTAACGCCGCACTCACCAATATTCCAGCTATATGACGGCGGTCTGAGAAATAATCGAGTCTGGACCAGACAATCCCGTGATTGACATCCTGAGCATTGATCCACGCAATAGGGATACGATGACATGCATCAACCAAGTCAGCGAGCCTGACCACCCGATCCCGTTAGTCGCCTCTTACGACAAGCAAAGTCGCCTTTAACGGAAGACCTCCTCTATCCCGGATCTTCACGGGTCGAGCATGTATGTAATCACGTTACATCATTAATCAAGGGATCAATTAAACAATTACGTCATATTTTTACATTGAACATTTCACACCTGAAACACGTACATTTAAAAAATAACATTCCTGAGTATCCTAATACATCCTAGTTGTTGATAACCTCCCGAAGTCTGCACTCGCTCTTCATCAGTGCGCAACTTGCAGCAGTGTTCCAGATCCTCTGGATGTAACGCTAGCCCAGCCTGGCGCCGCTATCAGCACATACGTTACCTCTACCCCTCCTAGAACATCCCCCCCCCCCCCAAGCTGATCTATTCCGGTACCATCTTCTTCCCGGTGCTTCATGAAATCGGATACCAGAGAAATCCCTTTCTGCTGCCGCCATTGCTCGAGAGGTGGCGTACCTGTCTGGGGGAAGACTTCTGTCCGGCGATAACGCGCCGCACAGGTAGCCAGGAAATTCACGCGTTTATCAGAGAAATATCTCCAGAATGTGAAATACGTCACCCACAGTGCTACAGATAGATGTCGGGATCATTAGAGTGAGGCTGTTGTTTCTATAACCTGAGAGCTGCGCTGAGCAGTTCCGGGGAAGTGGCTACCCCATTCATCCGGGTTCTTCTGCAGGAGACGAGAACATTCTTAAAGTTTCATATTGCGCCTTGGCAAGATGAAGCGAAGATGTATATCTAAAAGTAAGTTGCATCTATATATCAGAAAGTAACCCTTATACTAAGTATATATGTGATGTATATACTAAGACGCTGGACGTCGTTCAAACCCTATATACAGAAAAGTGAATGCAAAAGTTGAATGACGAACGCGCCTCTCTCTCTCTCTCTCTCTCTCTCTCTCTCTCTCTCTCTCTCTCTCTCACTCTCTCTTTACATGATACCTTGTTAATTACCGTACCGTGTCGTACAATGTATATTTGCGTCTCTCTGACGTCGTACGTACATCTACATAAGTACCCTAGCATGCCAGTGTTCCCGTTACCACCTCACTTACCTTCAACCTTTGTTGTATTTTCAGACACTCTTGTGATATATTTGGCTTGCCGGCGGTAGCAGCTACCAAGAGCGGTATGAAGCACTGAAACTCTCATTTCACACGGAATGGACGCGGTTCAAGGTAAACACATCATAACAGTAAACCTGGGTTAAACACGCGCACTTCAAGGTACATGAAGGTATTAGGTTTCGTTATAACGAGTGTGTTTGGAAAGGGGACACTCTGCTTTTATTGGTAGATCCAAATAACGAAAGTATGGCAATATAATCTTTGTTACCAACTCGAAAAAAACATGTTATTCTTTGAACGAGATACAGATGTTAAGCAAGATGGTTGCCTCATCAATGACAAACAACATGAGAAAGTGACTGCGTAGAAGATACAGTGTTCCTACATCAAGAACAGCTTAAATTGGGACCACACGCAGTGGCCATTTTGGCCTTACGATCACCAGAGACCGTCTCCGTGGTCAAGTGGTAGAGCGTCCGCCGGAGAGCGGAAGGTTCGATGCCTGCCAGCGTCATACCAAAAGACGTTAAAAGATGGAACTTGTTGTTACCCTGTCTGGCGCTCGGCATGAAGGGGCTAAAACAAGGACTGGTCGGCTCGGAGTCAGTATACTGTGTCTGAGTGGGGTATTCATGTTAAACTGCGGCATGCTATCTCAGTGAGCTAGGACTATAAATCGGCATCTGTCCGGACTTGTACGAGCAGCCACACACACACGTGCATGCACGTCGCTATATAAGTGCAATAATCTTGGACGCGACGTTAAACCCCATTTCAACTCAATTCGCGATAACCAGAATCCCAGTGCGTTTACCAAAAAATAATCATTACCATCCTTGTCGTTTTTCAACCTTAATAAAAGACATTTTGAGCAGCAAAAGAAACTATACCTCTTAGTAGCTTATATCTAATGTTTGATTTTCAATTGATAAAATCTTTAAATTAGTGATATTATGTTTAAAAAATGAACTGTACCGGCGCTTAGAACTCAAAGAATACCTCTACATGTTTTTATTTTTTTAAATATCATTTGATTTATATTTTTTAAAGATTAAACAAAATCGCACGATACAAAACTACTGATGGGTATCTTAATTATCTTATCTTTGAAAATCACTAAATTTGCTTTTTTCGGCGCGAAGTTACAACATTTCAAACATGGTGTGTGTTCTTTTTTTGTTTATTTTTTATTTTTTTATTTATTTTTTTATTTTTATTTTTTTTTATTGGGGGTGGGGTGTGGGGTGTAATTGGTTGCATATTCATTCCTTACCCCAGTCTTCATTAAACCAATTTAATTTAACACAAAATTACCCATACGCAGGTACTTTTTACAAACTGTTGCAGGAATGAGGGATGGTTTAGAACACATAATCAAATTTAACAACCAATCTCACTGAAATCAGATCTTAGTTCTCGCTACGGCTAAAGGGGAATCTGAGGACATCCAGTTAGGGGTCACGTCAGATCGACCTTTGATCCGACCAATCAGAGCGTCGCTTACCAGATTTCGAAAACTACAGTCGGAATGTGTTTTCCAATCAGGCAACCTCGATTTTTTAAAAATTAATTTAACAAGGGTTCTTTCAATTTTCAATTACATAAAAAGCAAACTCGGTGCATTCTTCCCCCTTCGGGTTATAACGGGCCATTCTCGCTGTTAACGTAAAGCTGTTAGTCAGAGCTACAGATAAGCTGCATATGCGTAAAATACCCCACGCAACTATTCAAAACCCAATTACTTTCAATTAACTTGCGTACAGAAACACATGCATGAAATGAATAACTCAATTGTTTGAAAATAGCATGCGTAAATACCCAATGAAGCTTTTTCAGCATGCGTACAACGGAGCTAATTTCTGAAACACAATTACAAGCTAATTTACTTTACGAGTCAAGCCTATATTTAGAACTGTTATATACATCTAAAACATTTTTTCTTTTTTTAAATCTCAAAATATTTACTAATTTTGGGGAAAACCCAATAGAGTGATAAACTGATGAGTGAAAAGATATTGGTTACCCAATGAAAAATGTAATAACCAAATTAAAATAGAAACCTTCGAGTAAAAACACGTTATCTGGAGCTCTGTTATTAGTAACGTGTAAACTTGCAAAATGTGAGTTCTATGTGTAACATTGGTCTCGTGAGCTGAACTTCAACTCGATTGTAGATATCTAGACCCGTGAAGATCCGGGTCTTCAACAACCCATGCTTGCCGTAAAATGCGACTATGCTTGTCTTAAGAGACGACTAACGTGATCGGGTGGTCAGGCTCGCTGACTTGGTTGATGCATGTCATCGATCTCAATTAAAAAGGATCGATGCTCATGATGTCAATCACTAGATCGTCTGGTCCAGACTTGGTTAGTTTAAAGACCGCCGTCATATAGCTGGAATATTGGTGAGTGCTGCGTTAAACAACAAACAAACAAACAAAGATATTTGAGAAATTATAGAAAAATGTCGGCTTCCTGATCGCATGAGCTCAGACACCCTGTTGGTGCAACGTCACGTACTGATTAGTAAGATGAAGGATATATCACAAGAACCTCCCACAACCCTGAGGTACGGAGCATCCGTGTCCCTCGTAACATAATCAGCCAATGCTTACCAAAATTAATTCATTCGGGGCATCCGTTATTCCGGTTGGTTGCAGGTTATTCTCAACTAAGTGAGGATGTTATCCACTCTCCTACCCAGTGTTCCTTGCGGCCGGCAGCCAGCTAGCATAGTACCTCTGCCACAGGCCAGCGCCATGTGACGATTCGTCACATCTTTCACAGTCCATTCAAGATATTGCATATGCTTTTCATCCGTTTCATGTTTGACAAGTCTACACATTTTCATAAACAAATGTCAAAGAATGGTTAACTTTCATTGAGAAAGTATGCAAATACGTAAAAATCTACTTGTTTTTGCGTAGTTATCCTATGTTTACATTGGTTGTACGGCTCCACGTGCTGTCATCGAAGCCCAACGGAGAGCTAGCGACACGGTCACTTTGATGCATAAATATATATTGTCATGCAACTCACTGTCGCAGTTGTTGTAGCATATCTATATAGTTATGCAAAACAATATGTGAAGCGCCCCCAAATACTTGCATTAGTCTGTTCTATACTGATTTCTGAAAAAGCGCGTTTGTTTACAAACAAGAGAAAAGTCCGGTCACGTGATATGCAAATTAGCCTGTGGCAGTGGTGTTATGCTGAGTCACCACTGCGACGGAGTGTGTGTGTAATCCTCTTTTCGGATTGGCTGACTTAAGATTAAGTGTAATTATCGGTACTGCGATCGGGAACTACTTTCTCAAAAGGGAATCCCCGTGACCTCCCGTCAGTGCACCAACTTTTGAAACAATGTCTAAAAATAGTATCGGGAACTCCAATGTAAAGAATTACGAGGTGAGGTGAAATGGGGTTAAACGTCGCGTCTAAGATTATTGCACTTACATAGCGACGTCCATGTACGTGTGCGTGTGGCTGATGCCGATTTATAGCGCTAGCCCACTGAGATACCATGCCGCAGTTTAACATGAATACCCCACTCAGATACAGTGTACTGACTCCGAGCCGACCAGTCCTTGTTTTAGCCCCTTTTTGCCGAGCGCCAGGCAGGGTAACAACAAGTACCATCTTTTAACGTCTTTTGGGATCGAACCCCGGACCTTCCGCTCTCCGGGCGGACGCATTAAAAAAAATTACTCGCTAGGGCCCTTGTAATGGACTATCAATGAATACATTTAAAGGAGAACAGTTTATTGCGGAAAGAGCTCATAGAACCATACAGTACATGTTTTCTTTTCAGTTATGATATCTTCCGTTCTGTTTTGCAATCTCATTAAAATCAACTCCCATGTTCTCGCTACCGCTAAACATAGCGTTTGTTTAGTGTAAGCAAGAACTAAGATCTGACTTTAATGAGAATGTCTGTTTCGTTGCTCGGTCTAAACTCGATCAGCTCGTTCGTGTAAATGTGGGAGAATGACGGTTAGAGCGCGGTCTACGATATAGATTTACAGGAAAAGAAATGTTTCTTTGAAATAGCAGGTACATGCGTAGGCTTAGTAGACGAACTCGACTTTTTTTCGTGTTGAACACACTAGCTGCCAAAAAATGTTGTCCGCCATTTTCGTTTGCTTTTAAGTCGGTAAAGTTTTATCATCGACATTACGGTAATATAATTTCTAAATACATTCGCCTTTGATGATAATTAGCATTTGGAGCAACAAGCGTCAAAATAGAACGAATGACTAATTTAACTCTACTGTTCATGGAACAGAGAAATTTACTGTGTTTACAGGGTCGGTGGGATAGCCTAGTGGTTAAAGCGTTCGCTCGTCACGCCGAAGACCCGGGTTCGATTCCCCACATGGGTACAATGTGTGAAGCCCTTTTCTGGTGTCCCCCCGCCTTGATATTGCTGGAATATTGCTAAAAGCGGCGTAAAACCAAACTCACTAACTCACCCACGGTGTTTTCAAGTTTGAAAACGTCCTGGTGAGCTCCGACGGACATCGTCAATCGAGAATCAAGTCTCGCTGATGTTACAGGACATTATACATATTTTCACTTAAATAACTGTGATAACATCCATGGGTATTCCTCAATTCATGCTCGTTGCAGTCACCATTCCAGATTGTTCGTTCTCCATTGCCGCGTGAAACTTCGCGATGAACCCCTGCCCCCTCCCCACTGTTGATGGTTGTTGAAATATCAAGCGCGAAATCAAATCATGTTTATTTTGTTCTTTCGGCCTTCGGTCCGAGTAAAATAGAGTACACTTATTTTAAAGCATTGCTGAATTAAGATCAGTTGATTTTTGATACGACCTTGATTTGATTAAGGTCCCTGACATCTCAGCGAAAGGAGTCTCTGTATGAGACGAAGTTTTGTTTTGTTTGTTTGTTTGATGTTTAACGCCGCACTCAGCAATATTCCAGGTATATGACCGCGGTCTGTAAGTAATCGAGTCTGGACTAGATAATCCAGTGATTTACAACATGAGCATCGATCCACGCAATTTGGATCGATGACATGCATCAAGCACGTCAGCGAGTCTGACCACCCGATCGCGTTAGTCGCCTTTTACTAAAATCATATTGCTGAGTGCGGCGTTAAACAACAAACAAACAATCAAACTAATGTCTTATTCTAATGTATTGTTTTTAAGTTTCTCAATTATCTTTCAGCATCTCAGTTTGGTGACCGACTGAGGTCATGTCTCCTGGCAACCTACAAGCGCCATCGGGAGTCACGTGATGGGAGGTCATGTGACCTGGAAAGACAATTGCCACTTCGGGAACCCTTTTTCCAAATAAAAAGAGTTCCCAGGTTTAAAGTGCGGAATGATCTGCACACGTCACTCTGGCCTGCGTACTATCCGCTGACAAGGTGATATCACCCACAGAACTGTTTTCGTGTAGCGGAGTGCTCGTCTAGTGCTGTAGTTTGCCAGGTAGTTGCATGGTGTATAACTCCGCATCGCCATGTGTGTGCACACTGCTTTTGTCCTAACACATGTCTTTGAAGCTTGTTACATTGAGATGCAGCAACACGTTGTGCAAAGTTGTTTCCCTTCTCTGTGCCAGGATCAGCTATTCCTGGGTTTGAATCGCAGAATCTCCACCGTGTCAGGTGAGGTGAGGTGAAATGGGGTTTAACGTCGCGTCCAAGATTATTGCACTTATATAGCGACGTGCATGCACGTGTGTGTGTGTGATGCTTCTTGTACTAGACCGGAATCATGCCGATTTATAGTGCTAGCCCATTGAGATACCATGCCGCAGTTTAACATGAATACCCCACTCAGACACAGTATACTGGCTCCGAGCCGGCCAGTCCTTGCTTTAACCCCTTAATGCCGAGCGCCATACAGGGTAACAACAAGTACCATCTTTTAACGTCTCTTGGTATGACGCGGGCGGAGATCGAACCCCGGACCTTCCGCTCTCCGGGCGGACGCTCTACCACTAGACCACGGAGGCGGTCTTCTACCGTGTCAGACTCGGTGACTGGGTGACTTGGTGACTTGGTGACTTGGTTGATTGCGTGTTTTCGTAACCCGATGGCGTAGATCGTGGCATTCGTCACCACTCGCCCCTTTCCGTAACCTGTTATTCGGCTTGTCCCGGAATAACACGAGTTGGTCACGAATGAGATCGTGGCTCATATTATAAATCACTGGATTGTCAGGTCCTCACTCGCTGGAATAATACGTGCGGCGTAAAATAGCATGCAAACAAAGATAGGTATCCCCTGATCTCTAACAATCTCCATCCCGAGCCTGGAACTAAAACTGATTAAGGATACCCACGGTTGAGCCTGCCAATCCCCTTTTTGTGCGCGGGATTCGGGGGTCTGTTTAGGGGGTATTTTGGACTATGTACAGTAAACTACGGTTATAACGAACTCTAAGGGACCACTAATTTTAGCTCGTTGTAACCGTTGTTCGTTACAAGCATGTATACAGCATAACTACAGCAAATGTTAGGGACAAAAAGGTAAGTCCGTTATATCCGTCAGTTCGTTGTAAGCGTGTTCGTTATAAACGTAGTTGACTGTAGTGTTGTACGCGAATGACGTAAATGAAGTCGTATGTATGTATGCTTATAATATTTGTGAATAAAACATGGTTAAACTAAACTAAAGTAAAGAAATATCGAAAAAAACATATATTTTTCGATAATTATTTACTTGTTCGGTTTAGTTTAAACATATTATATTCACAAATGGAAAAGGATAAGGAACAAGTTATCAAACTTGTGACACCTTCTCGTTAAATTTTTTACCATCGATTCTTTACTTGTTTGACTTCAAATTGCACCCCTTTATAACCTGGGAACATGTTCTTTAGGTTTTCGTCTGTGATCGACATTCTGCCATATAGAGGGAATTCTGACGTGCTTTTGAGTAAGAAGTACAGAAAACTACGTTTATAACGAACACGCTTAAAACGAACTGACGGATATAACGAAATGTGTTTTGATCCGTCAATTTGCTGTATATATGCTGTACATATGTTTATAACGAACTACGGTTATAACGAACTAAAATTAGTGGTCCCGTTGAGTTCGTTATAACCGTAGTTCGTTATAAGCAGGTTACTGTAATCGGGAATCATGGTGAGCAAATGTTTGAAAAATAAGATGCTTTTCGAGATTAAAGGGAAGGGGGTTGTCACCCTCACGGGTGTCTAAAGACCGCATTGAGAAAGGTGGAGCACACTGAAACACAACGGATACGTGTTGAGGAGGGCAAGTCTTCTGAATGCTTCTGGCGCGGGGGCACGGGTGGCCCAGTCGTCTAAGGCGACGCGATTCGCTGTGTAGAGTTGCGTCCCTTGGGCACGCCAGAAACCTAAGATTGTGGGTTCGAATCCTGGTTCGCCCCGATTATGTTTCTAGGTTTGTCAGCACCATACCCGTGCTCGTGGATTTCACCGAAGTGGTAAACGTCTGAGACCCGCATCACTTCGGGCTTTCCTCCCACATTAAGCTGACACGCCGTGATATAACTGGAATACTGTTAAAAGCGGCATTAAACCCAACTCACTCACTCACTCTGGCGCCTCCTACGTCTGTAGTGGTAGAGAATCACTAGACTCAAACCTTCAGGGTGGACTGGCTGTTCCGTTTGTTTACTTTTGATGAGGACTTCAGCAGTACGTTGGCTACATGTTCTATGTGCGGAGCGCAGTGTTATAACACGATACAGCATGACCGCTCGCGACTGCCTATGTTTATTTTCACGCCATGCCGGGGCGAGCAATTATTGGCGAAGTAATTTGGGAGCATTTATCAACAAAAGTGCTATAAACTCTGTCTTGGAATTAATTACGACATGTAGACATCTTCGCGGGGTCCTATCGATAAACAATTGATAAGCCATTTCCTGGGCATTCTGCCATTTTCGTTTACACTGTTTTGACTTGAAACACAAACTAATGATTTCCTAAGCTTTGCTAATCGTGTTCACACCGACAAGCGAAAAGGCTTCTGAAACAATGACAGTGTTGTATGTCTCGAATAGAAGACCCAGTGTAGAATTGGTCTTCAGTAACACATGCTTGTAACTAACGGCGTCTAACGGGATCGGGTGGTCAGGCTCGCTGACTTTGTTGATGCATGTCATCATATCCCAATTGCGTAGATCTATGTTCGTGATGTCAATCATTGGATTGTCTGGTCCAGACTCGATTATATACAGACCGCCATCATATAGGTGGAAAATCGCTGATCGCGGCGTGAAGCAACAAACAAACAAACAAACAAACAACATTCCCAAAGGATTCTGTTGAACGCTATAACAAGAGCATGGAAACAAAATACAAATGTCAAATGTCGTAATTACAACCGATAAATGTTATGTGTATAACACAAAGCAAAGGCCTTGTTCGGTGAATGTATCCGTCAATATGCTTTTATATTACGACATAAACTAAAAAAGAAAGTATGCCGCGTTTGTTATTTATGTAACTGAAAGAACTGTTGTTAGATTTCATTTTGTCTATTTAACCATCACTCATTCCTGCAACAGTTTATATAAGGTAGTCTGTGGCTGAGTAATTTTGTGTAAAATAAATTGGTCAAATGTAGACAGGGTAAGAAATGAATTTGCAACCACGTGACCCCTACCATGTTTAAATTGTAAATTTATGCAGATTTTGATTTTCAAATATAAGATGTCTAAGATACCCATCAGCATTTAAATCTTGAATAAATTTGTAAAAGTTTTAAATTATTAATTTTTTTTTTTAAATAAATAAGTAGAAGTATTCTTTGAGTATTAAGTAATAGTTATGCCATGTCACGTGGCCGAGTATGGGCCATAGCCGAGTTGGCCCATAATCGGTCGAGTGTCAAGTGGTATTATGAACTTGTACGACACCCAATCACTGGTAATAACTCCAATGATGTATAATGAAACTCCGCCCACTTATTGACTTGACGTGATTGGGCAAGATAATACGCGAAAAGGTATCATTTTACGTCATTTTACCGCCTACGTCATTGATTTTGAAACTTTGAATTGGCATTGGAAGAACCCCCAAAACCCACTGTTACCAGTTATGTAGACTGACATCTAGTGTCAGAAATGAACAGATTTTACAGAAAAAAAACACTTGTTATATTATAGTTATATAATAAAAAAGAGACAAGAGACTTTCTTCATTTTCTAGACTTACCAAACATTATAGGCTTGCATGGGCTGTATTGGATATATTTGTATCAGGGTCTTCATGACGGACTACCACGACCTATTCTGCCCATTATCAAGTGCGGGGTAGGATTAACTGAGTGTATTCGAATCACCCCGACCTTGCCCCATGACGTCAGGTCAATAAGTGGGCGGAGTTTCGTTGAACATCATTGTAGTTATTACCTGTGATTGGGTGTGATATAAGTCCGTTTTTCCACTTGACACTCGATTGACACCGATTATGGGCCAACCTCACGCAACTGAAATTCAGGCGATTTACGACAAATACACAGGTGTAGGGTTATTCTATGTGGCACTGGCGACACAAATAATTTACTATATTACCGTGTGTAATCTACAAAATAATAATAATTTAAAAAATCGCGTAATAATACTGCAAATAATTTGCAAGTGAGTCCATGGCATTTGATTGACTTACAAAGCATGCTTCTTTCGTTCATGTAAAAACAAAGGCCACGCCCTCTAGCGGAATACTGTTTTCTGATTGGCTGATAAAAGTAGGCGGGGCTTGCAATTGCTCCGGTCGATGTCACTCATTACCTTCAGCTGGCTCTTGGTGTGTGCACACGTCACGTAAATCCGCCACGTGTGCACACCGAAATCAACAAGCTTGAAACTGTTGGTTATCAGATAACATCATATCTGCAGAATATCTCAGTACACGAAATGCCAGCAATTTTAAGTGTAGCTCCATTGATAAGTTGCCAAGTTGCTCATGTACATCCTGCGCTTCATCAAACTGTGTAAAACTATCAGTTAACGTCTCATTTTAAAACTTCAGCCATTTGCAGAAAACGACGCGACCATACAGCTAGGAACGTATCCATGACGACCATCATCATATATCCCTTTTCTTGTGTCAATCTAGGCACTGTTAAGCAAGGAAACCATGCCATACTTTGGTAGTATTAGAACTTGGCATGAAGAAGGCGATACATTTGGTTTGGATTGTACGTTTTATTAATTCATATGTACAGTCGAATCCGGACATCTCGAATGTACCGCTATATAGAACCTATTCTCTGGTCCCGACCGCCGCTATATAAATGCATGTAGACTTGGCTTCTTACCGCGAATTCGGGATACAAACACATATTGTTATCTCGAACCTTGGACTCGGTGCCAACTCTGACTTTATCATAGAGGTGTGTGCCTTTATGTTTACATTACCGTAAATCCTCGAATTTTATATCATTTATTTATTCTATGAATAATCGCCTGCATCTATTGTTAACGCCAGGAGGGGCGGCCGGGTAGCCTAGTGGTTAAAGCGTTCGCTCGTCACGTCGAAGATCCGGGTTCTATTCCCAAAATGGATAGAATGCGTGAAGCTCATTTCTGGTGTCCCCCGCCATGATATTGCTGGAATATTGCTAAAAGCGTCGTAAAAGCATACTCACTCACTCACTCATTATTAACGCCCGGGCAATGACTAAACCTGCCTTGAAGGGTGCCTGGCCAAGTGCTTGATGGAAAAAGAGACATTTGATGAAAATGGAAATAAAGCCTGCCTCAAATATACGCCATGTCCAAGAGCTTATTTAAACATATGTTTATTCAAGGCTTTACGTTAGTTGATTCCCGAAAACACTATCCTGTGATACACACAGCGATACTTGTTTGAAAGCCTGCCTCGATAAAACCTGGCCACATTGGCCATGAGTTTCACGTCGCGATCAAGATTATTGCGCTTTTATTGCGACATGCAAGCACGTGCGTGGCTGCTTGTTCTTGTCCGGACTAATTTTACAGTGCTAGCCCACTGAGATGCCTGCTGCAGTTTAACATGAATACCCCACTCAAACGCAACTTAGAGTAGATCAGTCCTTGTTCTGATTAATGCTGAACGCCAGGCTGGGTAACAAGATCGTACCACCTTATCCCGCCTTTTTGTATGTGTTTCACTACGTGTTTCACTATTTTCCACTGTTTCACTACGTTTTACAGCGTGTTTCACTACGTGTTTTACAACGTGTTTCACTGCCTTTTTCTGCGCGTTTTCCTGCGTGTTTTACTGTTTCACTGGTTTCACTACGTCTTTTACAACGTGTTTTACTATGTGTTTTACTGCATGTTTCACTATGTTTCACAACGTGTTTCACCCTCTATTTCCCAGTGTTTCACATGTATTTCCCAGTGTGTTTCACCTTGTATTTCACTGTGTGTTTTACATGTATTTCATCAAGTTTCACATGTATTTCACCATGTTTCACATTTATTTCACCATGTTTCACATGTATTTCACTGTGTTTCACATGTATTTCACCATGTGTTTTACATGTATTTCACCATCTGTTTCACATGTATTTTCCAGTGTGTTTCACATGTATTTCGCTGTGTGTTTTACATGTATTTCAATGTGTGTTTCACATGTATTTTCCAGTGTGTTTCACATGTATTTCACCATGTGTTTTACATGTATTTCACCATGTTTCACATGCATTTTCCAGTGTGTTTCACATGTATTTCACTGTGTGTTTTACATGTATTTCACTGTGTGTTTTAAATGTATTTCACTGTGTGTTTCACATGTATTTTCCAGTGTGTTTCACATGTATTTCACTGTGTGTTTTACATGTATTTCACCATGTTTCACATGTATTTCACTGTGTGTTTTACATGTATTTCACCATGTTTCACATGTATTTCACTGTGTGTTTCACATGTATTTCACCATGTTTCACATGTATTTCACTGTGTGTTTCACATGTATTTCACTGTGTGTTTTACATGTATTTCACCATGTTTCACATGTATTTCACTGTGTGTTTCTCATGTATTGCACCATGTGTTTTACATGTATTTCACCATGTTTCACATGTATTTCACCATGTGTTTCACATGTATTTCCCAGTGTGTATCACCATGTGTTTCACTTTGTATTTCCCAGTGTGTTTCACATGTATTTCACAATTTGTTTCACGTGTGTCAAGAGGTACTTTATTCGGCTATAGATTGGTCGGGGAGTGGGTACGTAACCGTTGAAACGAACCCGGTGTCTGACCAGCACGCAATGCCCTCCACCACGTCCCAGTGTACATTTCCCTGACAGTGTTATGACAAGCCGTGGTCAGACACAAGCCAGGTGCGCGTCAGCCCATGCCGGGCTATACTGAGGGAAAGAAAAAAGAGAACGAGTTCATTGTCATGTTCTCCTCAAAGAAACCCCTAGATTAGTCGGCGAAAGAGAGTGAGTTTGGTTTAACGGCGCGTGGAACAGTATTCATTTATATATCAGCTTGACGTGAGAGGTAAGCCAGAAGTGATGCAGGTCTTAGACGTTTAAAACTTTGGTAAAACCCACGAGCACGGGATTGCAATGTGTCAAACACACCCACATACCAACATAACATTCTTTGACTTACTTTGTAGAGGGCATTAATACTCAACACGACACTACATCAATATAAACTGTTTCTTTGTACCTATACCTCCCTTCAAGCCTGGTAGAGGATCGGTCGAAGGTTTTTATCAATATAGAATGGAAATATAATACACAGGAAAACAGAGTGTGGGTGGCGCGAGATACGATATACAATCTGTATACACAGTGTCTGCCTTTCAAGAATTAACACAAGCCTGGCATTAGGGGGCTCGAACTCGGTAGTTACCGATCAGAAAATAATGTCAGCTTTGCCTGAAGAGATAACAATTTACAGTCGAAGATCTGAGCATGGTTGTGAATGAGTTGACTGACATGTACTTCAACAATGTCTTTAAGTGTCATTTAGATTTTTTGGCATAAATGGTCTACAGCAACCCATGCTTGTCGTAAGAGGCGACTAACGGGATCGGGTGGTCAGGCTCGCTGACTTGGTTGATGCATGTCATCGTATCCCGATTTCGTGGATCGATGCTCATGGTGTCAATCACTTGGACTCGATTATTTACAGTCCGCCGTCATATAGTTGGAATATTGCCGAGTGAGGCGTTTAACAACAAACAAAGGAAAACAGCATGAAATGTAAGTGTTTGTTGGTTGCCCGACTTCCCCCCCCCCCCCCACACCACCACCACCACCACCACTTGAATCGAAAAACAAAGTACATACTTAAAATAGAGGAGGATCATCTGTTTTAGGAAGACTTAGATAATTAACGTAAACAGCCTCTGTAACCACGATCGTAAAGAGGGTTATTGTTTTACACCACCAGTCTCTAAGGGCTTTCCGCCTTTATCATAGATTTTCATCAGGGCAGAATCACGTGGATTTGCAGCTTGATGTCCACTTATGATAAATTCTTAGCGATATCCACCAGTGTCACCAAGGCGATTCGGTTGAAAATTTCATGATTAATGTAAAGTGACTTCAAAGAATGCATGATTAATGTAAAGTGACTTCAAAGAATGCATGATTAATGTAAGGTGACTTCAAAGAATGCATGATTAATGTAAGGTGACTTCAAAGAATGCATGATTAATGTAAGGTGACTTCAAAGAATGCATGGTTAATGTAAAGTGACTTCAAAGAATGCATGATTAATGTAAAGTGACTTCAAAGAATGCATGATTAATGTACATTTTAAATGTTTATGCAACACAGCATTGGCAATGTGTGTAAGATTGTAATCTGGGCCAGGGGTCTCCAACACCGAATTAAATATCTCTGTATGTCCTCCATTATGTGACCAATCGCTAATGGCTGTCTACCTTGACTAGACCAGTCTCTAAGAGCAATAGGGCGGTCGGGTAGCCTAGTGGTTAAAGCGTTCACTCGTCACGCCGAAGACCCGGGTTCGATTCCCGACATGGGTACAATGTGTGAAACCCATTTCTGATGTCCTCCACCGTGATATTGCTGGAATATTGCAAAAAGCGGCGTAAAACCATAGTCACTCACTCACTCACTCACTCACTCTAAGAGCAATAGGAATATATCATTTTTTTCTCTCTCTTTTTCCCACAGACTTGAAACAGCGTCGATTGATGACCTGGTGTATCCTCGTCCTTCCCGGAGCGTCAGTATTCTGGTGGAGGGGGATATCGGTGTTGGCAAGACAACCATCTGTCAACGTCTTCTGCAGCTTTGGGAGGTCAAGGTCGCGTGTCAACAGACGCAGTGTATGAAGGCCACGAGCAGTTCCACTGTCAAGGACGTCCATCTGCCGAACTTAAAGACCCCGCTGTACCTTGACTGTTCCAACGTCACGGAGGGTTCGTTTTCATCCGTGATGGACAGCAAGAGCCACATCAGATTCATTGTCAAGACCGTGAAAGCCATGCTGGGGGATCAAGGTGGTGAGTTTCAGACCAATGACATGAGTGACTGGTTGACAAGTTGCTCGGGAGACGTTGAGATATACTTTGACAACGTGACCGTGTGTTCAGGGCTGATCAAGGTCATTGAGGCCACTCTAGATTCCCACAAGACGGCGTTCGCCCGCGTTATGGTGTTCACTGGCCCGAGCGTGATTCACAAACATCGGTTCGATAACCTGTTCTACTGTTACGGAATAAACCCGGATTATGGCTCACGAATTCTCACGAGGCGTTTGCAGAAGATGTGTGACTTTCCCGAGCACAAGGTGTCCAGTGTTGACCAAATCAAGATGGTGGATCTTCAAGGGGAATTCTTCCGAAACCCCCTAATAAGTTCGCTACTTGCTGACTTTTGTAAAACCGGATATGACGTCATCCCTAACAACAAGACGGACTTGATCCAGTGTCTCCTTCACCACAGCTTCCGGTCACTAGATGGCGTTTTACAAGAGAAGGGAACAGGGGGTGATTTAGAACGGATTATCGTGTGCTTGCGTCAACAAGCATACGAAGGCTTGTACAGAGGGACACACTATTTCAACAAGTCAGTGCTCGCGGAGTCCGTCCAACCTCTCCACCTCTGTGACTTGAGAATAATCCGAGACATTCACGAAACTGGAGATCAGAACGAGTCGGCTTCAACCAGTGATATGTTTGCTTACAGCTCCAGAGGTTTCCGCGACTTCCTGGCCTCTGCGCATGTCTGCCATCTGTTGGTAAATCCAACCATCTCGGAAAGTCTCCTACCAAATCTCCTCCAGGACAGAGTGTTCGAGAGTCTGTGCGGGTACTGCTGCAGACAGCTCAGCGTGTCGGGTCACATCGCGGTCCTCAAGACGCTTGTTGAAACAATGATGGAGAGGTCCAAGCTGCAGTACGTGACGATGCTAGGTCACGATCAGCTCGTGACACGCGGTACCCTCTGTGACGTCAGCAGGGTTCTAGTGTGTCTCAGACAAACAGATTTTCAAGAGGATGTGTGCAAACTCGCAGCCCAAAATTTTCCAACGATATTAGAATTTTCTTTGGAGGACAGCGTCTGTTCGGTTCTTCAAGACATGATCCACATGATGGCGCGTTACGAGCTCTCAACACATGGAATCGTCATTCACATGGACAAAATGTTCACACAGTCCAGCCTCGGTATCAGTTTGGCACGTGCTCTGAATTGTATGACGTCTTTAACAACGTTGATGCTGCGGGCGACGTTTGTCGCCGACACAACGTTTTTGGTACATTTCCTCTGTGAGACATTCCAAGGTAACACCCATGTGAAAAACTTCACTTTAGGAGGACCTTTCAACTCGGCCGAGAATCTCTCCCACGCGTTACACAGACGGGTAGCGTCGACGTTCACAACAGCCATAGCGCTTAAAACGCTGACAATAGAAAATTGCAGCCACATGCACCGGATCGCCTATGTGATTGGCTGCTGGCCCAACATCTTCCACAGACTCGAGGTCAGGAGGTGTAACCTTGAAGCGGCTGGGTCAGAGGTTATCATCAAATTAAAAGGTCAAGGTGATTTTTATCATCTCCGATTAGAAAACTGTTACATTCCGAGCGCAAAGTTACACGATGTCCTGAAGTGCGCACAAATGTGCAAGAAATTGCAAGTAGTGAGCCTCAATCTCCTGTCCGCTAAAAAAAGCTTTTCTGTTATGGATACCCATAGGGGAACCTTCCTCCCCGCCATCGACGCTAGGGCGTGCTCCCTCCTGCATGAGCTGATAGTCTCAAGCCCACTTCTCGAAGAAGTCACGGTCTGCCACGCGGGACTTGATGACGTCAAAGCTGGTGTTATTATAGGAGCAGTGTTGCAGAGCGTGTGTCTGAAGGTGGTTGACCTCAGCGGGAACCTCATAACAGATGACGTCACGAAAGATGTGATTGACGTCATCAAAACTGTGAAATCTTTGAGGGGTCTTATGTTAAACAACAACTCGTTCTCTCCAGAGGGTCGCAAGAGCGTTGTCCGCGCGACTAGTGACGTCACGGAGCTCAAGCTTAGCATGTGAGGGGGCAATACTTAGAGCTATTCTGTGCACAGGGTCGCCCTCAAACCCAGACTTCCTTGCGGTCAACCTAGTACCTCTGCTACAGACCAGAGATATGTGACGAATCGTTACATTTTACACAGTCCATTCAAAAAAATACATGTGATGTTCATCTATTCCATTTTTGAATATTCGACACATTTGAATGTAGATATGTCATGAAATCGTCAATTTCGCTGAGAAAAGTTCCTAAAATGTGAAAAACTATTTCAATTTGCGTATTTATCCTTTGTTTACAATATTTGTACGATTCCACGTGCAGACATTGAAGCCCTAAGGAGAGCTAGCGATAGGGTCACTGTGTATTGATATGTTGTCATCCACCCCACTGTCGCAGTTGTAGTCGCGTATTTATGCAAAACAAGTTGTAAATGGCATTGAAAGGCTTCCACGGACTCATTCGTGACCAACTCGTGTTATTCCGGGACAAGACGAATAGCGACTCGTGCCCCTCTCGTGGCCATTTTTGCAACCGGGTTCCGTCTTAGCGCAAACGGGCATACCTAAAACAATTGTCAACTCGTTGCGCAATGGTTCACATATATTTCCCTATATATTATTTATATTTCAGATGCAATTTAAAGCACGTCAGGACATGCAGAATTATACAGTATGATTGGACACATTTATCTGTGTCTTGGGTGTATTTTTAGATGCAAGACATATGTAAAAACAGAAAGTATTTCTGAGGGATTCTTTGACGAAGAACTTGAAATCATACGCGCATTCTGATTGGTCTGTCGTATTTTCGCACATAACATTCATCGATAAGGGGACGCGTGTTCTTGCAGGTTACGGAAAGGGGCGAGTGGTGACGAATGCCACGGACTGCTATGATTTCGGAATACGCACGTTTATTTACAAACAAGAAAGAATCAGGTCACGTGATATTCAAATTAACTTATGGCGGTGGTGTGATGCTGACTCATCACTGTGTGATGCAGACTGTGTCTGTGCAGGCTTGCTACAGAGCTAGCTATACATCAGAAATAAACCTTGACAAAATTACTCTTTAGTTTGTATCTGGTTACGAGTGAATGAATGTTGTTTAACGCCGCACCCAGCAATGTTCCAGCTTTATGACGGCGGTCTGTAAACAATCGAGTCTGGACCAGACAATCCAGTGATTGACATCATGAGCATCGATCCACGCAACTGGGATACGATAACATGCATAAACCAAGTCAGCAAGCCTGACCACCCGATCCAGTTAGTCGCCTCTTACGACAAGCACAGTCGCCTTTTATCTGGTTACGATAATGGTGTGTGTGTGCGCGCGCACGCATGTGCGTGTGCGTGCGTGTGTGTGTGTGTGTGTGTTTCTGTGTGTGTGTGCGTGTGTGTGTGCGTGTGTCACGCGGTAATATTCAAGCCAAATGACGGCAATCGAGTCTTGACCACACAATCCAGTGATTGACATCATGAGCATGGATCTACGCATTTGGGATACGATGACATTTGTGGTTACAGTATTGTCGATGACATTATTGCAATATGTGGTTACATAACTACCAGTAGCTACGTGAAAGGCGGTTGGGTTAGCCAAGTGGATAAAGCGTTCGTCACGCCGAAAGCCCTGGTTCGATTCCCTCAAAGCGTACAATGTGGGAATCCATTTCTGGCGTCCCCCGTCGTGATATTGTTTGAACATTGCGAAAAGCGGCGTAAAACCAAACTTACTCACTCACTAAATGAACTCATGTGCAATTAGTAATTAATAATTGCGACGTGTGGCTACACTGAACCATTATCTAGTGTTTTTTTTTCTCAAAATGATTCTTTTTCAGCACATGACTTATCTTTAATAACACTGTAGGTGAGGTTTAGCCAGTTACAATAAAGCTGAAGGCCGAATAGTTTTGAAGAATAAAGTTTACAATATGTGTTACATCCTCAATAGATTTTATAAAAGTATGAATCATTCGATAAGAAATGTTTCGACGCAATTTCCCCTTATGGGGTGGAACGGCACATTCTATACCATGACCTAGCGAAAGGCTGCATTTCAACACTTGTGGATTATAGTACAATGTGTCAGTGGCCATATTCTTGAATGTTGGATACCAATTTTCTTCATGAAATATCAAAATTTAAAACAAATAATTCTGCACCAGTAACAAAGTGCACCTGATTGATATATTCTCATCGCCATTATTGAGGGTCGTGCAGATAACACGATAAAAAATTATTTAGGAAACCGTGGCATTTTCAACTTCCAAGAGTGCAGCTCAGGTGCATTTGGAGGTGAGGTGAAATGGGGTTTAACGTCGCGTCCAAGATTATTGCACTTATATAGCGACGTGCATGCACGTGTATGTGTGTGTGTGTGTGTGTGTGTGGCTGCTTGTACTAGTCCGGACTGATGCCGATTTATAGTGCTAGCACACTGAGATACCATGCCGCAGTTTAACATGAATACCCCACTCAGACACAGTATACTGACTCCGAGCCGACCAGTCCTTGTTTTAGCCCCTTAATGCCGAGCGCCAGACAGGGTAACAACAAGTACCATCTTTAAACGTCTTTTGGTATGACGCGGCAGGGGATCGAACCCCGGACCTTCCGCTCTCGGGGCGGACGCTCTACTATTAGACCACGGAGGCGGTCAAGTGCATTTGGAACGAACCCCACCGAGTATTAATTGTCATGTATTGCCCGTGCTTGGGACTGAACCACTGGTTGCGTTCAGGCGTGTGTTTTGGGTAGCTTCACCTTAGTTGTTAACATGTTCTTCAAATGTTAAATTTTAAATCATATTGTCAACACACTGAGACCTATTGACACTCTACATATCTGAGTGACCCTTCAATTATGACGCTGAGTATATGTGCAAAGTTTCACGAAAGGACGGTGAAGACTTTTATATTTCAGCTCCGGAATAGAAACGGAAGGATAGATGAAACATGTACAGATATCTTTGTTTGTTGTTTAACGCTGCACTCAGCAATATTCCAACTATAGGACGGCGGTCTGTAAATAATCGAGTCTGGACCAGACAATTCAGTGATAAACATCACATCATCGATCTACGGAATTGGGATCGATGACATGCATCAACCAAGTCAGCGAGCCTGACCACCTGATCCCGTTAGTTGCCTTTTTCGACAAGCATGGGTTGCTCAAGATCTATTCTAACCCGGATCTTCACGGCCCGACATGCTGATAATTTCAACCTAAATATATCCCTTTACATCCCTCTGCCGGGGTATAATTGTCAAGATTAATCAATACTGAAGCTCTCACGTGACCGTGAGTTTCACACATGGCGCTGGTGTGACTGACAGGATGACTAGCTAGGGTCATCACCTCAGCTTCCTGCACGAAGTGGGTGCATGTTATGAATAGTTTCGAGTACTTCAGTGAACTTTCCTTTAATGCTGACCGAATTCGACCCAGCTGGTTAAGTCATGTTGCTATTGTTCGAATTTTAACATTTGGTGACAATGGTATTACGTCACGTTAAGATAAATTCCAGCCCGCAGACGCTTACCATTTCGATTAAACTATGAGCATGGATATGGTGCTCACAAATCAAGACTCATGAACATAGGATTCTAGAACTCCCAAGGGACGCAACTCTGCACAGCGAATTGTGGATCCTTGGACCACACACACACACACACACACACACACACACACACACACACACACACACACCCCAACCCAACTTGATGTCAACCGTGGCAAATATGAATGCCTTTCACACCAGCTGAATTCTGATGTACATGTTCCAATACTACCGGGTACCCTGATCCTCGGCAGCAATATGAGTCGATGTCACGTCTTAACACTCGGCAACCAGTTGGTCCACAGGATTTCCCCGCCACCAAAGGGACTTTGGACGTATATGCATTACCGTGCTAAACTGACCATGTGTTTGTGAGTTGTTTTGAACGCTTTTAACAGTATTCCAGTTATATCACGGCGTGTCAGCTTCATGTGGGAGGAAAGCCCGAAGTGATGCAAGTCTCAGACGTTTACTTCTTCGTTGAAACCCACGAGCACGGGTATGGTGCTGACAAACCTAGAAACATAATAGGGGCGAACCGCGGTTCGAACCCACAATCATAGGTTTCTGGTGTGCCCATGGGACGCAACTCTGCACAGCGAATCGCGGCGCCTGACACGACACGGCCATTCATTCCCAACAATTGACCATGATATCAATGCTTTTTAAACCAGCTGAATTTTGATGTGGCTGTTCCAGTACTACCGGGTACCCTGCTCCATGGCTGCATAATTATATATGTTTGTTTTGAAACGTCGCACTCACCAATATTCCATCTACATAAGGACACTCTGTAAATAATTAAGTCGGGACCAGACAGTCCAGTGATTGCGTCAATCCCCGCAGTTGGGATACGATGACATGCATCAGCCAAGTTCCAGAAGCTGATCAATTATCCATTTAGTCACCTCTTACGAGAATCAAGGGTTGAGGACCTTTATTCTCACCGGAAGTCCCATGGGTTCATGGAAATAATATTGTAAGTCCCTCATTAAACAAACAATAAAAAACAAACATTTTAAATATATTTCGAAAACCAAGTCTACAACGACATCGATAAAGCCACTGTGTGTCTAAGACCTGACCAAGTACGACGCCATCATGGTCGACGTAATCGTGACGACATCATGCACGACAAACAACGACGGTGTCAAGTCAAACTGTCCCTGGTGGTGACAAACGAACACTCACGCGCGTGTACCTATCCGAAATTAAACAAATATTTGATTTTATATACTTATTGACGTGGGGTTCATATACATTCCACGGGATAGATTCTTCCAAAAAGTAGATATAAGCATAGTCATCCGCTCCAGGTGTGCTGATGGCACCAGACTGAAGAAATGGATAGTGCCGGTGCATAGTTCCATAACCTCCAAGTCTAGAACCGAGAAATGACTTCTTTTAATCCACAACACTTGCATTTTCTGCAGTAGTAATGGCGGTAGTTGTTGTGATGCCGATATGAACGTCGTTTCCGGATCCATGCGCCGCCATTTTGAAACAACTTTAACTTTGGAATGTTTTGAGCCGGATCAAGCTGTCCATTGTCTGAAAATTAATTATATGAAATTAGTTGTGTATCGTTAATGAAATAGTTCTTATTGAATAATGCATTTGATCCTACCAACACGGGGAGGACACACAGGAAGTACGTCTCCCAATCGGTAAACCTCGCCCCTTTCCGTAACCGCAGAGGTCACGAGGTCAGAGATGTTCTGAGCGGTACTTCCCCGTGATGAATCCTGGGTAGAATACTGAATGGGATCGGCTGTCTACAATGTCTGATGTTGGTTATCTGTAACACCGATCGTGATACGGGTTGGAATACCATGTCGTAAGAGGCGACTAACGGGTGGTCAAACTTGCTGACTTGGTTGATGCATGTCATCGTATCCCAGTTGCGTGGATCGATGCTCATGATATCAATCACTGGGTTATCTGGTCCAGACTCGATTATTTACAGACCGCCGTCATGTAGCTGGAATATTGCTGAGTGCGGCGTTAAACAACAAACCAACCAACCAACCATTGCAGTTGGTGTAATATATGACGATGCATTTTTTTCCCTTCCCCATCCGACACCAACGTACCTGCGACCAGCTCACGTGAGGTCGGGGTCGCTGTAAGGAGTTGCGTCAACAGCAGCGTCACGGCGAGATGTGCAAGGATTGTGTACATCGGCATCGTTGCTGTTTTTCAAAATCTGGAAATACATAGTGATTTAATACATAAATGAATGTAGGTGTGTTCTGCAAGCTAATTAGTTAAAAAATGTTGCTGAACGATTTACGGTGTTTTTTTCGGAAGAGTGAGTGAGTGAGTGAGTACGGTTTTACGCCGCTTTAAGCAAGTCCAGCAATATCACGGCGGGGGACACCAGAAATGGGCTTCACACATTGTACCCATGTCGGGAATCGAACCCGGGTCTTCGGCGTGACGAGCGAAAGCTTTAACCACTAGGCTACCCGACCTCCCCTTTTTCGGAAGAGAAGTCGTAAACTCGAAAGCGACGTTCATGAAGGACACATTTGTACGTCCATACGTTTTTCACGAGATTGTATTTTACATTGAGCTAAACACTGACGGAGGACTTCCATATTCCTAGGGAAACCCCTGGAAAGTCTCTAGCATGACTAAATACAGAACAGTTGTTTCTGATCATTCAGAGAAAGTAATCATAAAATTTTGCACACAATGGAAACGAAAATTGTTTGACTGCAAGTTTGTGATCGACTAATCTTTGTGGAACTGAAACTGTCGACTGACTGACAGGGACATTAAAAAACAATCAGCAGTGATCTATTTACTCAAGCACCTGTTCAAAATATCTTTATAATCACCTTTAAGTGATCAATCAATCAATCAACACATTGATCGTGTCGGCCATTTGACGACTTGAAATAAATGCATCATCCCGGTTAAAGAACTATATACAACATGGCCCATACTACATATATCGATGCTCATAATAATAATAATAATAATAATAATAATAATAATAATTGATTTGTAAAGCGCCTAATATCCATCGACAGTTGCTCATGATGTCAATCACTGAATTGTCTGGTCCAGACTCGGTTATTTACAGACCGCCGTCATATAGCTGGAATATTGCTGAGTGCGGCGTTAAACAACCAACTAACCAACCAACCAACCAACCAACCAACCAATCAACATATAAAATGTCATTTTGCTGTTGTGCACAAAAGGAACGCGTGAATTACATTTTTAAGTTGTCAACGAGTCAAAAGATGGAGAAGGCCACAAGAGATGCACTTCTCACCTAGCATCTCTACAGTTGATGCACGACCAATGGTCAATCCAGAGTGACCGCAAGTGATGCATGACACCCACCTCGTGTCGCCTCAAGTCTTTTTTGTATTGTTTTATAATTGTTGTTTAACGCCGCACTCACCAATATTCCAGCTATATGACGGCAGTTATATCGTGTTGAACGCTACATGTTGTATTGTATTTTTTCTACTATCAGAGGGAGTGCTCATTATCGCGTGCCATCGTTATCGCGTTATATGCCTGGGGCAGCGGTTGTTGTATCGTTATTCAAAGCTTAAAGGACAATCGCTTTCAGTTTATAATATTGTTTGATTAGAATATGGAATATTGTTCATTTCATCCAGAGCAGAATGATATTGTAATATATTCAGATGGACGAATGGGTTCCAATAAAAAAAACATTTGTTTTTGATTTTTGTTAAACATTTTTTAAGCGAAATTGTGATTTAGCACCGATGGAAGATGAGAAACACACAAAACACTCAGATGGCCTCGGCGTCATTCTAACATTCGTTGACTGATGTCATATGTCATGTTTTGAAAAACAATTGCAAATTTCAACTGAAGTTGTTTTTAACAAAATTAAAAAAACTCAGCTGTTAACACTGCTACCTAAAACATGCACTGAAGTTTCAAAGCGTCCACCTACCAGTGTTGAGACTCGGCGCCGTCAGCTGTCGCCTCGCATGCAGTGTGAACAGGAGAGGGGGCGCCTCGTGTGGAAACTAGTATATATATATACTGCACATGGTGCGAGAACGCGGAACCGGCGAAACAACGCCCATCAGTGACGTCACAGCACGGCACTGGATCGGCAAAATATCCGAAGCTGCTGAACTCATTTGTAACTGCAAGTTCGACTTTGCAATTGAATTTAATCCCAGCACTGATTTATGCTATTGGCTAAATACGGACGTCCTCGGTCCTGTCATACTGCGATAATGGCGGAAACTTAATGTCAAACAATTAATGTCTCTGTGTTTGTATCTGCCTGGCATTTATACATCATGATGATAATAACTATAATATGCGTCCTGTCAGCTGTCAATCATGGCGATGGCGGCATGATAGGAAACCATTTTGTATCCGGTATCACGTGACCACCGTCCATCACTGCACAGATCCGCATTCATATTTAGGTCTGAAACTAATCAACAACAAATAATATCATAATTTGATTGTCAATGGTGGGGTACATATTTTGTTATGCCTTGCAACCGGAACTAATACGATTTTAGCTCACTCATTCACTCACTCACTCACGCCGATGAGTTTAAAATTTTCTTCCACGAGTGTTGATATATTTGATATCAAAAGACACAAGGGTGAGATTCTATTTATCATCCAACATCATTCTCCTACACTCTCCTGCATTACCAGATCACTCAAAGTGAACAATTCCGAAACAAATCATTCGAAAACTCCGTAGAAGTGTGCCTGATTTCTGATTGTGTGGCCCAAAATATCCCAAATGTGAACATTAACATTCCCCATCTCTAGCGTAAAGCGCTGAGTAGATCACGGTTGTCTTTTCTTATTCCGGTGGTGACCTTGCCCTTCGATCGTTCGAAGCTCTCATGCAAACAGATTTGAGTTTGTTGATTTTCACGTCTTCAGTATATAGGGTGTACAGTTAACATGAATGTCCTTGGCAAACACTCTAATTTCCCTCTTCCAAGATGGTACGGACATGATATAAATTCAGCTGATAGATCAAGGAAACCGAACCATTTTGATTGCACAGCCGGGATACCGGTAGTGCGATTGACCGAGGGTTGGTCCGATATTCAAAGCGCGGCGCTAAGGTGACTTTTCAAATGTTCTTATTGGTGTCCTGCGTACGAACAGCATGGCGCTTGAATAACCATAAGTTTACGAAATTCTTCTAATTTCTGCGGTGCTGTTATGTTTGCAAATATAACTGCAGGCGCATGTTGTAAATGCGTATGCATAGAAATGTCAACAATGTCCATATTTGGGCATATATCAATATTCACGCACAACCAGATTTTGAAACCGGTTTCAGTTTCGTCGGTCAACGAACGAAAGTTGTTATATATTAACACAGAAATATATATTTAACGTGGGTAACAAACACTCTAACAAATACATACCACACTCATTCTCGTTAAATACCATGTTTACGAAACTCGTGAACGTTCTGCGGTACGATAGAAAGCCCACTCGTTACGTAAAATGGTATCTAACGAGAATGAATGCAGTATTCTCTATATCTCCCACAAGCCATATCTCCCATGGGAGCCAATTTTGGATGATATTAAACATTATAGCTAAAATTGATAGAATAATGATTAAACCGCCCGCATGTTATCAGATTTGAGCCGGCAACTGTAACTTGATAATGCCCTTATATTGCTTGACGACGGGCCACTATCACGCCGGTTGTTAGGTGACGTCAAATGACGTTTAATAGTGACGTCATTTGGTTAGTTCTATGACGTTTCCATATTTGTAAACGTGAGTCTGTGACATTCGTAGTGTCTTGATTGCAGTGAATGTTTCAAAACCGATATTCTTTTTTTATTTTTTATTTGATAATTCTATCAATTTTAGCTATGATAACGGTAACGCTATTTTTCAGGGCAATAATATTTGCAGAAGCCCTCCTTCGTCTGGCAGCTAACAAAAGACCGAAGGCTTCTGCAAATGATAATGCCCTGAAAAATAGCGTTACCCTTATAATAAAACACTGCAGGGAGAATCGTCTATCAACTGTGGATCGAGATACCAGGTGAGTAGTGCATCTCTTGACATCTCTGTGTTTTGACTCGTTGACAACTTAGAAATGTAATTCTCGCGTTCCTCTTGTTTTGTGCTCTACAGCATGACGTTATATATGTAGTATGGGCCATGTTGTATATAGTTCTTTAACTGGGATGATGCAGTTATTTCAAGACGTCAAAAGGCCGACACGATCAATGTGTTGTTTGATTGTTTGATCACTTTCAGGTGATTATACAGATATTGTGAACAGGTGCTGGAGTAACTGATCGCTGCAGATTGTTTTTCACTGTGCCTGGTTATATAATTTCGTCAGGCAGTTAACAAAAGACCTCGGGCTTCTGCAAATGATAATGCCCTGAAAAATAGCGTTACCCTTATAATAAAACACTGCAGGGACAATATGCCATCAGGGGCGCAGTCGGTCGAGATGTCAATATCATGTACAGCCTCTTTGAGGGTGATGATCAAATGTACAAGCTATAAAAATATTTTCCCCTCATTAAATAATGATGACTCCTTCAATAGAATCCGACCTCGCAATGTCGGACAAGCCCATTTTATGCACAGGTGGGTATTTCCCACAGGTTCGCAAAATCCTCACGTGAACTTCCTGTATCTTTTCTCCCAATAACGATTGTCACTATCATCCAAAACTGGCTCCCACGGTAGATATCGCTTGAGTGAGATCAAGCGATGTCTAAATTGTAGATATTGCTGCAATGAAATTGCATCACAATGCTTTGTAGACCATTGTGACGTCATTGTTACCATGACGTCACAATCAAATGACATCACTAATGGCTCTGCTACTGAAGCTGTTAGCAGTACTTTTAACACTAAGACACTGCTAGTTACTGTCTACAGACTGAAAAAGTTGGAAGAATGATGTTGGATGATAAATAAAATCTCACCCTCGTGTCTTTTGATATCAAATATATCAACACAGGCAAGCCTCGTAGTTTTTCCACTTTTATCAACATGTGATTGATATATTTGATATCAAAAGACACTCAGGTGAAATTCTTTATATCTCTCGCTTTGGATGCAATCGTTACGCCATCGTGCCCAACTACATCTATGGGGATCAACTCACTAGACACACCCTACTCACAGATGGACTTGTGTTGTAAATTGAAGAAATCCCTGAGAACAACCATCAATTGGGCAAAAACTCGACAGACACTTCCCTCTCAAAAATAACGTCGACCAATCTACGACGTCATCAAGTTGCGAGCGCATGTTCGAATCTCCATAAATGACGTCATGGTAGAACAAAGTTTTATCGTGAAATAAACCACGCTTCGTTCTTCATTGTTCACTGCGATTTATCACGTAGCTAGAACAAAATCAAACACGCCCGCCTTCGTTTGATGACATACTGTCGATGTGGAGGGCACAGGTCAAACCCCAACGCTGACCCTGACTGACGGTGTATCAGGATGCAGGGTCACCGGGTTCTCGGGCCTACTTTCCAACACCGAACTGGCACAATGCCGTAATTCTTTTCATAAACGCGCCCAACCTTCCTTTTAGCACTTGGTCACGCTTTCACTCACCCTGCAGCATTCGTCACCACTCGCCCTTTTCCGTAACCTGCAAGAAGACTCGTCCCCCTATCGATGAATGTTATGTGCGAAAATACGACAAACCAATCAGAATGCGCGTATGATTTCAAGTTCTTCGGCAAAGAATCCCTCAGAAATACTTTCTGTTTTTACATATGTCTTGCATCTAAAAATATAACCAAGACACAGTTAAATGTGTTCAATCATACTGTATAATTTCGCATGTCCTGACGTGCTTTAAATTGCATCTGAAATATAGGGAAATATATGTGAACCATTGCGCAACGAGTTGACAATTGTTTTAGGTATGCCCGTTTGCGCTAAGACGGAACCCGGTTGCAAAAATGGCCACGAGAGGGGCACGAGTCGCTATTCGGCTTGTCCCGGAATAACACGAGTTGGTCACGAATGACCCTGCAGTTAATCGGCGTGGTTGTCGTTCCATTTCGCTTGCATAGCCATGAACATTACATTGTCGCTATACCCGAATACTATGGTCGTGGATTTGAAACCCAAATTCTCGGTGATTATGTTTCTATCTATAGGTTTGTGGGTTTCACCGGAGTGGTAAACGTCTGAGACCTGCATCACTTCGGGCTTTCCTCCCACACAAAGCTGACACGATATAACTGGAATACTGTTCAAAGCGGCGTTAAACCCAACTCACTCACTCACTCACTCACTCTCTCATCTCTCCACTTGTTCCACCTTTGTATCAACTGTTCCACACAAATAGCATGCCCTATATTTTCAAATGTTTTAAGGCCTTTTTTGTTGGAGTTTATATACAGTAAACTACGGTAATAACGAACTCAAAGGGACTGATATTAGTTCGATATAACTGTAGTTCGTTATAAGCACATATACAGCATATAAGCAGCAAATGGTAGGGACAAAAAGTGTTCGTTATATCCGTTAACTGGTTATAAGCGTGTTTGTTATAAAAGTAGCTCACTGTACTTAGTTAAGAGCCATTGTATCTCCTGATTTGGCAGTATAATGGTTGAAGCATGTTTGATTGGTGCTGAAAAGTTTACATGAAGCCTCCGAAATATACAGAAACGTAATTTATACACATCGTCAATACTTCATGAGTTGCTCTTGTTTTCACCATGTTCTGTCACCCGTGAATACAGATGGCCGCTTTACGATGGAGTCGTGATTCTAATCAACCAACCAAGCGACGGCCTGGTACTAGCGAGGGAAGCTGGCGAGTGCTTAGACCAATGAGAGCTCGGGTTACAGCGTTCACGCGGCATGCTATCACCTGGTATCGTGTGCAAAATGTGCTTTGAGGCATCTGCTCTGCTACACTGTCAGGGTTTAGGGTTCGCTCAGGGTCATGCACGGAGTTGGACTCATTTGACTTCAGTCACACACGCGCAACATTGCAATATTTCAAAGTTAAAGTTAAGGATAGGTTTCTTTCAGCACGTAAAGTGATCGAACATTTCTTTCAACAGCCCATTTTGGTTCGGTCAGTACAGAATCAC